CTGCTAGACAAATGCTACCACTGAGCCACATCCCTGGCCCTGTTATGTTTTTATATTTTGTTTTATCTTAAAAATCATTTGTTTGTTTATTTATTTATTTATTTGGTATACAGCTCAGACTCGTAGTGATTAATCCTTTTGTCTCAGTTTCCCCAATGCTAGGATTACAGGCATGCACCACTGTGCTTGGTTCCAGGGGCCAGCACGTTGTCCTGGGGTTTCAGGGCCAGCACAGCATGTGGTACCAGGGATCGAACCCAGGTAGGTGCTGAGACCTTTAACCTACCTCCCTAGCTGCTGTTATATACTTTTAAATCACAATACAAAATGGGATTGTTACCAAAACTGTAGTAAACAGATGAGCATTACAAATTGTTTTGAGACAGGGTCTCACTATGTAGTAATGTAACAAAAAATTAAAATCAGTACAACAATCCATACTGAACAAATGTTTTTAAAAAATGACAGTAACTATATTACTTTTTATTGCCCTAAAAATTCATGTTTTTTGTACAACTTTTTTGACTACATGAATATACGACTACCTCTTAGAAAGAATAAACATTAATCTTAGATAGTCTTAGAGATCTTTAAAATACATATAAAAGATATACTCTTATTTTTATTAGCCAAGGCTCAAAAAAACTATCAGCTATTAAGAAGCTATTTTTGTTAGGACTCAGGGATGTTTGCTGATGTCATGACAGGAGGTTAGAGATTGTTGGAAAAGGAGTTAAAGCCTTGGGACTAATCCTAAAAATCAGAAAAGCTGATCAAGTGATACTCTTAATACTTTTCAATATAATTATTATTTTGTTCATCTCATATTTTAGGTGATAAGTTGTCATTTTATTTATAATTTAAAAGCTAATGTCATCTTTTAAAAAACAATCCTTTGTTGTACAGCAAAAAGTACTGCTGTTTCATGTCACTAAAATTAAGCTAAGTGGGTTCAGAAGAGGTCAGGTAAAGGATTACTGGCTACGGAACTATGCAGACCTCAGAATTACTCAGCCCTCAGACCTGCTGGGATCTGGTCAGAGTTTAAGTATCTCCCAGGGGCTTATGCACTAAAATTTGATATTCACTGTGATGTATTAAGAGGGTAGAATTCAACCTGACTTTGTATGGCCTTTTGGAGGTGATTCAGATTAGGTAAGGTCATTAGGGTAGAGATTCTGTGATTGAATCCTGGTGGTTTTATAACAGAGAGATGAAGAGAGAAAGAGAGAGAGAGAGAGAGAGAGAGAGAGAGAGAGAGAGAGAGAGAGAGAGAGAGAGAGGAGAGAGAATGAATGAGAGAGAGAGAGAACAGATGTGACACATAGGCATATTCACATATTCCCTGTCTCTCACTGAGTGATGCCCTATATGGCTGCTCTGACTACTCTGCCAGCAAGAAGGCCATCCCCAATTGTGACACCTTAACCTTCCAAAACTGTGTGCCAACATAGAGCTCTCCTTTATAGGTAGCCTGTCTCATATATTTCATCATAACAACAAAAATGGACTAACATAATCTCCATTCCAGATCCATGAAGGTAAACCTAACAAAGCTGGCCTCAGACTGGTTACTTCAGTGAGTTCAGCTTTCTCATTATTATTATTATTTTTTTAAATTTTAAAAAATATTTATTTATTTATTTATTTTGTGTGTGTGTCACCAGCTCAGCCCACCAGGGGGCGGGGGCTGGCTGGCATGTGGTGCTGGGGGATTGAACCACGGTCCCTATGCTTTGCTTAGCTTAGCTTCTTCTAAGTAGGTGCTTTAGACCACTGAGCCATCTCACCAGCCCCCAGCTTTCTCATTATTATTATGGAAATAGAGACCCCTAATCTTGTACAGTCGCCTCCAAGGTGAAAGAGAAAATGTTCCAGGAGTGCCCCTGCCAAGCTTGACAGCCAAGGGACCTTCCAATACCTTCTCCGTGGTGTCAGGGCCCACACTGCATGTGTGTGTTTGGAGGTATACTCTGAAGTCTCTGGTTGGAGATACAAGGAAGGGGCCACATATTGTCCATGTAACATTTCTAACAAATTATATGCCTTTACCAAGTAATCCTGAATGAGTTAAGACAGCTCCAGAGGGCCCCAGGCAGGATCCCCAAGGGTTCAACTTTCCTGGCAGCCAACAGATGGCCACCACCACCAGACAGGAGCCTGCCATCTGCCAGAGCAGACAGCCTTCAGGCTGGGTGCAGTCTGTCAGCTTAGAAGGCCTAAGTCACCTGGCCAACCAGCCATCTGGTGCTACCTCCTGGAGTCCAAATCTCCTGTGGGGTCAACGCTGCAGTGCTGGGATAGAATGGCTTAATGGGTATCAGAGTTACCATGGAGGTTCAACAGGACACCAGAGAGCACAGGGAGTTCAGTCGTGTTTCTCAAAAAGCAGTCTTGGTGCTTAGGTCTGACACTGCGTCACAGACCATGGATCAGAGGCAGCCAGGCTGTGAGGAGTGCCCTGGTAATGGTGGACAAGGAAAAGGAGACCCATGTCCAGCCCTGGTTCTTCCCAGATGCATAACATCAGGCATCACCCAGCTTCTCTGAGCCCCTCTGTGTGGCATGGTAAGACGTCAGAAGCTTTGGGGGTACACACTCTTGAGTCTGAATCCTAGCTCAGCTTCCATGAGCCCTGACAGAAGCTCTTAGACCCTCGATGTCCCCTTCCTATAACTATGTCCTAAGAACTAGAGAAAACACACAGAAAACACTAACACTGTGTAGTTACTGCATTTATATCTTCTCTTCCCCACTGGATAGGGATGTCCCTGAGAGCAGAGAGCAACTGAGTTTGAGATGCTAATTCTTACAGTCACTAAAGTCACTGGCAATGATCACCTGGCTGGCCAGTCCAGGACAAGACTCCTGTTGCATTTCCTTCCTGAAGTGAGAGGTACATAGCAAAAAGATATAGGAAAGAACCTTGCAGGTGTGGCCCAAGGAAGCACAGTGGCTGTTTTCTCACTAATGAACTGGTCTCTGAGAGTTGTAGATGAGTCATTCCACACTTGGCCCATCTAGTGCTGGAGCACCACCAGACAGCCAGATGGTGAGTGGACTCCTCTGCCCAGCCTTTTTCTGCCTCACCTCAAGACCAAGAGCCTGTCTCCTCCATCCTTCCCCTCTGGGTTTGGCATCGAGGATACAGATGCAACCTCACAGCTGGGGTGTGGGAAAGTGAATGAAGACCTGGGCTTCCGGTTTCACTGCTAAGGCCTCCTGAGCACGCTTCCTACAATACTTCACCGGTTTCTCAGAGCCACTCAGGGGGACAAGTTGCCCCTCCAAAGGTAGGAAAGAATTAGCACTGAGGGCTATGAAGTCAGGGTAATAGCCCAAATGTGCTGGGCAGCTAGGGGTGTTAGATATGGGTCTCCCCCAAAAACATGGTTATACCTCCCTTTACACAAGAGAAAACAGGCTAGAGAGGGTGTGAGACCTGTACCAACCAGAATCTGGGTCTGTGCTATCTGTCATGAAGTCTGTGCTTGGAATAGTGCACTAGATGGCAGTGTATATGTGAGACTGGGAGAGTCCCCAAGCCTCCTTTGCCCCCAAATCAAAGGTTAAACCACAGGGCTCTTTCTTCCCTCCTCTACCCTAGGACACAGTCTTGGTTTACTGGGAATTACCTATTTTCTTTAAATCCAGATTTCTAAAGGCTGGAACGACTTTTCCTGATCTTTCCCCTGAACGCATGGGAGCTATCTATAGTATGGCCATTGCAATTTGTAACCACATGTTTAGGTTTCGCTTTGCTCAGTGCCTATCTCTGCTATGATATGTGAGTCCTACAGCATTGGCCTGTGTACTTGGCCCTCTGTCTTGTCCCGGCACCTACAATACTGTATGTGCATAACAGGCCCTTAGGGAACAGTTGGTGAACACTAAAGAGTCCCCTCTAATCACTTGCTGCTCCATTAACTATAACCCCAGCCCTAACAAGAATAAAGCCTGTTGCTTCCCCTAAGATTAGCTCACAGTGGCAGGAAAACCTGAGAAGGGCCAAAACCAAGTAGCTGGAGGGAACATTTTCTTGGATTGCCTTCTCCAAAAACAGGGGAAAGGACGAGAAAAATATATAAGGGGGGAGAAGATTCAGTAGTAAACAGAACACACACCTACCCACTTCCCCACCCTGAGTCCCCTGATTCTGAGGCTAGGGAAGGAAGCAGAAAAGGACTCAGTATAACCAAAACTGAAGCCTTCTTCTTAGAGGACCCAGGTCCTCAGTGGAACCTGCCCTGACCCCTGCCCTCAGCCCTATACTTAGGGTTTATGGTGACAACTGTGCTACCTTTGTCATTCTTACTGTACTCAGCAGAGGGTTCTGTTCAGTACTACAACCCTCCTGCATCTCTGCCACATGATCTCTGGATTTAAGCACACTTTATTGTCTGGGTTATAGGATTTTTGAATAATTTTAACATCTCTTGGTGTGTGAGATCTGTTTTCCACAATGACCATGCAGCACTTTTGTAAACTCACTTTATAAGTAAACTCACTTTAAAATAAGCTCACTATCAAATCTAAATCCCCCAATCCACCACTGTTGTTTTGGTTCTATACTGGGGCCACACCCTGCCAACTTTCTGTGAGTCCTTTAGATATCTACACCAAGTAATCAGCTGCCAGGCCAGGCTCAAGATCTCCCACTTCCATCAGCGACTGCTCCCAAGACCCTGCATCTAGATCCCTCCTGTAAATATTGCCTCTTTGGTGGTAGTCTAGACCACCCTCTTTGCAGGAGGGACTCAGGAGACAGTTATTAAAGTAGTTTTCCAGAGACCCCTGCCCTTGACAGCCTTTTGTCACATAGTTTGAACATGTTCCTGAGCAATCAATAGCACATTTCCAATCTCCTGCAATGGGTTGTTCAACAACTATAGACCAGCCTGAGTCAGTTAGGCTGGTATATCACACAGAGCTATGTGTAAGGCTCCATGCCTCTGGGGCACCTTGGGAACTAGAGACCCGAGGGAGAGGCCAGTGCTCACCTTCTGAGACTTCAACTCTTTGGTAAGCACCAGCACCTGCTGCTCCAAGGCTACCACCTTCTCTTGAGCTGTCCTATTACGCACCAGCCCTTCAGAAAAGAATGGGAAGGTATTGCTCTGAGACTTGGTCTTCTGTGGGAGACTGGCAGGCAGAGAGGACTTGGGTGCAGGCTTTGGAGAATCTGCTGGTTCCTTCCCTGCTTAAGAGGAGAGACATTGAGCTTAGAATCAACGCAGTGGTTTTCAAAGAAGCCTGTTTCCAAAGCACCTGGGGGACCTAACATGCAGATGGTTGGGCCCCACTCCTTGGGGTGGTTTCGGAGTTGGCACTTCTACAGAGTTCCTAGCTGATACTGACACCTACCTTGAGGTGCATTGGACTATCCACACCATGCTGGTTGAGTCATTCAACCAGTGGCCTAAACTGCCTTGACCCACAGGTCAACACCTGACCTGGAGGGATATCTCCTCCCACCCTGCTGGGTTTTATGGATGCTGGCTCTTCCTGCACCAGCCCTGAAAAGGTGTTTTATTTTTCACTGCAGGATCCTGTTTCTATTTGATGAATGATTTTTCAAAGCAAATATGTTTGTTGCTGGGAGCACAGACTGCATTATCAGTATTCTGCATTCTAGCCCCAGGCAACAGCTCAAACTCTTGATTTGAATTAATTAAGTAGGTAGCCAAAGCTTTCACTCAGAGCTACATTCCCTGCATTTTTTATTTTTTGAGATGAGGTCTTGCTAAACTGCTTTAGCTGGACTCCTGCCTCAGCATCCCAGAGTGCTGGGATTTCAGGTATGTGCCACCATGTCTGTTTTCATTAGGTTTTTACTACCAGCTAATTTAGGAAACCGTATTTCTTTCAGTCGATTGCCTTGAAGCTTCATGATCCTTTTATTTCTTCCAGAGCAGGCAGTGGCAGCCTATAGTTGACACAGCAGAGCTAGTCCATAGCCTGCTCTGTGTAAGTAAAGTTTTACTGGAACATAGTCATACCCATGTGATCACATATGGTGACCAAAGGTCTTGGCTGCTTTCACTTCACAAAGACAGAGCTGCATACCTGCAGCCCATGGTCACAAGCCTCAACGAAACACATCTGGTTCTATACAGAAAACATTTGCCAAGCACTGTCTTCTAGTTACTAAACTGTATTCTTAAATTCAATGTTAGAGAATCACTCCCCTGGGCCAGCATGTGCTCCCTTGTTCCTGGTCTATGTTCTAGGACTCTGCCAGTAAGCTGCATCAAGGACATTCCATGGCCTGCATGTTTGGTCAAGGGACATGGAGACATGCACTCATACATGACACATCACACCTATTAAAAAGCTCCAGCAGAGAAATGCCCCTCAGTCCTCTTGCATGCCAGAAAAAAAATTGCTTTATCTAAGAAAATATGTGATTAATCTTATGGACATTGGAAATAATCTAGCCACTTGCATTTCCCTTCTTTGCCTTGGCTGCTGAGAAACTTCGAGCTAATTTGCTGCCCAGTCCCCCCACCCCCAACTAGGATTGAACCCAGGGCCTCTGTATAGGGTTACATCATTTTCCAGTCCTTTTCTAATTTCTTATTTTAAGATAGAATGTCCCTAAATCACTAAGTTTCCTAGGATGGGCTCAAACTCACCTCTTGCTTCAGCCTTCCAGAATTCTGGTATTCAGGCTTGCACTGTCACCACACCTGACTCGCTTCCCACTTTCAGATACTCTCTAGCATCTTATCTTGATTCTATCTAAACTTCCTAGCCCAAATGACTCATTTATTTTTCCCAACAGGTACTTCAGTAACCTACCTGCCATCCTTCTGGTACTTAGGTATGAAAGGTGACCAAGAAAAAGATGTGAGGGGATCCGAGGCCAGGGGAGAGGCAGGGCTTAAAAGAAGGGATGGATGACTTAAATGTCTTCCTTCTGGAGACCAGGCTGGGGGAACAGATAATGAATGACTTCTGTAGGTAACAGAACCCCATCGCTCTTGGTCTTAGTAACCTTGTTCCAGGCCTGTGAGAAATCCAGCCGCACCAGGTACAAAGGGGGCTGTACTCAGAAAAATACAGTGCTTCGTCCTTTTTACTGTTATAGGATCCAAGGGAGAAACCCTGCGGTGCTCAGAACAGAGGCCTGTCCACCAACCCTGAGGACAGGCAGGGGAGGGGCCACGTGCTAATTTTATATCTGAGGAAAGCAAGGCCTGAGATAGTGGTTTTCAACCAGTGCATTAGGATTTGGTGGGACTGGTTCAGAGCTGATAGAGGGTGGAGTGGGGCAAGAGGAGGACAGAGGGCCAGACTGCTATATCCATTCAACTCTGCTTCTGCTTGCTTTGTATATTAGACTTAGTGTGTGCTGGGAATAGAACACAGGTGTCATGGCAGTAAAGATGTACAAATGCTCCCGAACTTATGACAGGATTATTTCCTGATAAACTCATTTCAAGTTGCAAATAGCATAAATGGAAAAAGCATGCAGTTCAGTTCACCTAACAAGTGTCCTAGCTTGGCCCCACAGTGCACTGGAGAGGGTCTATTGTTTACCTCATGACCTTATGACTGACTGGGAGCTAGCGCTTGCTGCTACTGCCTGACATCCAGAGAGAGTGCTGTAAACTTTGCAAGCCTGAGAAGCCATCCTGATTCAGAATTCATTGGCTGGAGATGCAGCTCAGCGGTGGAGCACTTCTGTAGCATACAGAAAGCCCTGGATTTGACCTCTGGCACCAGAAAAAAAACCCTGAAATTCATGGTCAAGTTTCCACTGAATTCACATGGCTTTTGCACTGTTGCAAAGATACAAACTTTATAATGGTTGAGTCATTGTGAGTCAGTACCATCTGTAGTCTGAAAAATCACTGACTTCAGGGAGCGGGAAGGGGCCGGAAGGCTCCACTTGAAGTCTGGTTTGTCATTCACAATGCGGCCATGAGCAAGTCAATCCACTTCTCCATGCCTTAGTTTCCTCATTTATCAACCATGGAAAACAGCAGGGTCTACAGTGCCATTTGCTGTAAGCATTATGCAGGTCACTGTGGGTTAAGTGCTTAGCACATTCATGGATGGAACCTGAAACTATCCCGCTAATTGAAAGGCATCAGTCACAAAGGAGCACATGTCACAGAGTCCTCACACAGGAAACACTGCAGAAGGCACATCCAGGAAGACAGCAGATCAGCAGCTGCTATCAGCTGTAGGGAGGTGGTGACTGGGGCTGATGGCTATCAGCTATAAGGCTTCTTTCAGAAGCCATACAAATATCCTTTTTTTTTTTTCCCAGCACTAGGGATTGAACTCAAGACCTTGCACTTGCCAGGCAGGTGCTTATGCAGCTCAGCTATCTCCCCAGCCCCAGTTGATTAGTGATGTCTACACAGCTCTGTGGCATACTGAAATCTGTAAGATTGCACAGTTTAAATGTGTGAGTTATACAGTTTCTTTTTATGTTTTAATAAAACTGTTACTAAAAAAAGTGCTTAAGTAGTTGGCACACAAAGTGACTGCCATAAAAGTGGTATTATTATTATTATTTTGATACATTCCACTGTGATCTCAGAGCCCTCCTGAGGGGCTGATTCTCCAGAGGGGTACTCAGGTGGTCATAAGGAGACTCTAGGTGCTGCCTTAGCCAGTTTTCCCCTAATACTTCTAAAGTGAAATATGTCCTAAGGGTAATGCCAGTCTTTAGGAAGCTACTCTGATAGTGTGGGTCGTTAACATTTTAAGACAGAAACAATAAAATGCTCTGTTGACCTAATTACCTCTGGAAGGCATTTTTATACCCTTTCCTTTGTAAATTAAAAAATAAAGAGAAATGAAAGAGATGAGAACAATATTTTTGTCTTTATTACTTCAAGAACTACTACTAAGATGCTCAGTTTGGGAGATGAAACAGTTCTGGAGCTTGATGGGGGTGATCACTGCACAGCTTAATGCTACCACGCTACATACCTAAAAGTGGTAAAATTGTAAATTTTGTCACAATTAAAAAAAAATTGCTCCTTAACCTCTAGAAACCCAGAAATCACATAGTGTATTTCACCTCTGACACCCACTGTGAACTCAGTGTTTGTGGGAACCCCAACAACATTCCTGTGTTGAAGTCCTAACCCCAAGTGTGACAGTATTAGATGGTGAGAGCTTAGGGGATGGAGCAGAAGAAGAGGACGGGATCAGAGCTCTCTCAGCCACGTGAGCTGAGACTGGAAGAGGGCCCCTACCAGACGTGGAACCAGCACATAATCCTGGCCTGCTCTGTCTTCATATGACTGTGAGAAATAAATGTCTACTATTTCAGGCACACAGCTACCCACAGAATTTTGTTACAGCAGCAGCAGCAGCAGCAGGAGACTAACAGCCCACCACACACACACACACACACACACACACACACACACACACACTGGCTGGTAGGGAAGAGAGAAGGCACTCATTCTGGTCCAGGGGCTTGCTCTCTGACAGCCACTCAGACCTGATCAAAAGCTCACCTGGGGTGCTGGAGTCAGGTGTTGGGGTCTGCTCCCCACTCTGTGTAGCCTCTTCCACCAGATATCCAAGGCCGGTTCCCGGGGTGTGCTTGTTGCCACGGATAGTGTGCATGGTGTTTCTGAAAGGAGAAGTGTGGCATGTGAGCTGACAGCCCCTCTGCTCTCCCTGCTGGAGCTCAGGGCTCACTTCAGTGGGATGCCCCAGGAATTAGCACGATGCATCTGAAAACACAAGCTTCTCTGGGCCCCCAGGCCTTTTTCTTTCTCTCTTAGCCCTTTCCACACACTCTCTGTTGCTGTCCTGAGCTTGACTCATCCATCCCCCACTCCTGCTGCTGAAAGTCCATTCATTGGCAGATGCTTAGAACAGTGCCCGATGCAGGGATATTTCACACATATGTTGAACAAATATTGAATAGACAAGGTAAACTGCAGCTCCTATAACCTCCATCTGACCTTGTAACTACTGGCTCTAAAACTATCAGTGCTCTCAGTTCCACTGAGGTATGTTACAAATATCTTGTGGCATCTTCCTCCCTTTGCTCTCTTGCCCCACTCGGTCCTCTGCAGCCTCAGCTCCCAAGGAGCCTACTGTACCTCATGCTACTCCTTGTTTAACCACTTACATAGGCTAAGCCTCATGGTATCATTTCAAGAACTACGTTGAGTAGCACTGGAGTAGGTGTGCCCAGAAAGCAGGCTCAATATAGCAAGTAACTAAGTAGCACCAGAGGTGGCTTGAGAGTACACACTACAGAAAAACTCAGAGTGGGCCAGATGGAAAGACAGCTCAACTGAGTTTATTTTCCCTTGCAAAGATATAAAATCACATGTATTATGCAAAGATAGCACGAGAGAGAAAAACAAAGGAATTGACTAGGTCAGTTGCTTCAGACAGCAGACTATAGTCCACAGGGAGGATCATAAAATTTGTTCAGTGTCATTATCAACACTTGAAAGATAAGCAGAGAGCTGGGTGTGGTGGTACATGCCTGCATTCCAAGTAATGGGGAGCCCAAGGCAGAAGGATCTTCATGAGTTTGAGGTCACTTAGGCTACAGAGTGATTTCAAGGCTAGTCTGAACTACACAGTGAGACCCTGTCTCAAAAAAAAAAGAGCCCAGAAAGTATCAGTGTGCATTTCACCTAGCCAGGGTGAATGTTTTCTGAGTTAGATATATGTATACTGAGCTGTAACAAAAAGCATATTTTGTATTGTAGTCATGATCAACAGTTTGAAACATACTACACTTAGGAAGGCACTTACTTAAGGGCATCAGTAGCATGATCCAAAGAGGGGATATGAAAGTCTTAAGGCCTGTGTTGAAGCCCAAGCTTTGTTACATTATCTTTATTTATGATACTACCTGCAGCAATAGGATGGACAAATATTCCACAAACTCTTAGATGCTGGATAAATACAGGCATAGTTTAAGGACACCTAGCTGAAGTTTCAGCAAAAGAAGGGACATCCCCAAGGACTAAATATAAAAAAGGGACATGAAACTCAAGTGAGAGTAAAAGTGAAGACGAATGCTTAGGTTAGATGGATGTTCAGCGAATATTCGCTTCTTCCCTACACCTCTGTGAGAGCACAGCCCTTCCCCCTCTCCTTTTGGGAAAATTTACCCGTGAAACCCATGGCCCTAAGGTTTCTAATTGTTAATTCAATTTCTTTACTATTTACTAGATTTATTCTGATTTCCTTTTTCTTTTTGAGTCAGTTCCAGTAATTTGTGTCTTTCTAGGAACTTGTTCATTTCATGTAAATTATCAAATTCTTTGTTACATAGTTGTTAAAAACAGTCCCTTGCAGTCCTTTTTATTTCTGTAAGGGTGGTCACTATGCCTCTTCTTTTGTTTGATTTTAGTAATCTGCATTTTTTTCTTTTTTTAAAAAAAACTCATCTAGAGTTCTCTAAATAAATAAGTCAATTTTTGTCTGTCTTTTCAAAGAAAAACTATTTGACCTGAAACTTGGTTTTTAAATAATCTAGGTGTTTTGGTCAAGCTGAGTATATAACAAGAAAAGAATGAGATTATATTTTTATGGATTGATGGAAGGGAAAATTCATCAGTTAAATTAAGAGTAGAGAAACAATAAAAATTCAGTACTCCTAGTGCCAGCTTTGGAATTTGTTTTGTTACTACTATGGTCCTATTATAAAAAACTTCTGAAACATTGGACTAGTCACTTTCCTGTCTTAGTTCTTACTTTTCCTGTCTAAAAATAAAGGAATGGTGGGTGTGTTAGGAAAAACGACACTGAGCATGATGGGCATTAGTATTTACTATTTACTGAGTACCTTTTCTTTTTTGAGATGGGGTCTCACTGTGTATTCCAGGTTAGCAGTGAACTCCCTATATAGCCCAAGCTGGTCTCAAACTCGCAATGATCCTCCAGCTGCAGTTTCTGAAATGCTGTTATTATAAGCATGGATCACCACATCCTGCTACTGAGCATCATTTTGTCCTAATCCTGTGCTGAGCTTGTTACACAATTTCACAAACCACAGCTTCTTGCATTATAGAGGAACCCATACATATACCAGAGGCACTGGCTGGGCAGGGTGGCTGTCACTGCTGCTCACACTTCTCCCTTCCCAGGAGCTGTAGCTTCTCAATATGTACTTGGGCTCATGGCCAGTCATCCCTGGAGGGTGGAGGGCTTCGAAACCCCAACTTCAGTGCAGCAAAATGCCTTGTAAGCCCTGGCACACAGCTGTGTCCTCTGGGATATGGAGGTGTGACACAGTCCAAATTACCTTCGCTGTGCTTGGAAGCGACATCTCTGTTACAAATTTATCATCATCTTTACTTGATAATTTCAGAGACCATTTTTCTGAGCAGGGTTAGCTTAATTCCAAAAGACCTGGCCAGCACAGAGGTGACTGTCATAAAGACATGTTTGGAAGGGATAACATTGGCAACTCAGTGGTTCCCTCAGCCTCAGCTTCCTCATTTGCAACAGACGCTGGAAGGGCCTTTGCCTGGGCCACCATCTAAGCTACACACTACAATATAATGCGCTCTACTCATTTCATCTTCACAACTACTCAGTGAAGTATTTTTGTTAGCTCCAAATGCCAGAGAGCAGAACTGAGATTCTGAGAAGCTAAGTAAACAAACCATAGCACTGCTAGTAGTAGGACTAATCATTAGAAGTAGGTACCTACCTATGGCTTGAGAGCCTGACCACATGATAACCGCCCTTCACAGATGTGTTCTGACACCTCAAAGATGGCATGAAGCATCTAGCACAGCGCTCAGGAGGTTCCCTATGCCTTCCCTGAGGATGATCTGTCCTCAGGGTAGCAAAACAGCAAGTGCCACGACTGGGAGGTGAAGGAGTGCAGGGAACAGGGGCAGCTGTAGACTCCCATGCTCTCTAGGGCTTGCAGCAGCTCAGGTCACCTTTCTTAATGATGTTGCCTCACTTCTTCTGGCTATCACAAGTGACAGGAGGGAAGTGATACAGAGATGCTTTGAAACTTCCTTCCTTTCTTGGTCTCTGCATGTTCTCTGTTCCACTTCTGTGGCTGTGGCCTCTGCCATGCATGAACCAGCTTATTCCTGGTGAGTCCACCCTGTGTACTTGCTGGACAGATGGCTGAGCTTCTCCCGGCCTCCTCTTCCCACCAGCTCCTTCTCCACGTACCCAGTTCCCATGAGCTCCGCCTTGGTGCCATGGTCCTCCTTGCCCCTCTGGGGGACTCAACCATGGCCCACACTCACCCTCCAGCTCAGTTCTCTCTCCTGGGCTCTACGCCTCTCCATCCAACTCTCAGTGGGGTAGCAGGCCCCAAAGGACTATCACCTTCTCTCTAAAACCTGCTTATTTTCTGGGAAAGCCATGACCACCTTCCTTGTCACCTAAATTACCAAAGCCAGTAGAGGGATATCCTGTGCTTGAATCATCCACAGCCAATGATTCCTAACTGTAGTCTAGTCAGCAATCTATTTTGCTTTCTAAGAGGTCCCAGTTCATCCAAAATCCACATAGCAAATAAACACCCAAACAGGATCAGTACTGGGTACAGCTTGAATTCCTAAAGATTTCCATTCTCTTAACTGGAAAAAACAACAATGGTATCCACAGCCAGTATTATTACATATTTGTGATTGTCAAGTATAGTTCTAAAGTATTCACCCAGTTAGCCCCTATCTAACCTAATCAGGCAAGCACAGCTGTACTTATATTCACAAACAAGGTAAGTAAAGCACAGAGAAGCAAGCAACTTGTCAAGGGTACCACAGCCCTTAACTATGACAGTGTCCAAGCTTAGGCAGTTTGGCTTCAAGGGCAAGGCCATATGGTTCTTTTCAATATACTATCTAAGACAAACCCTGACAATGGGAAACTACATACATATATATATAGCAGTTGACATACAGTCAGTTGCACATAGTGAAAAGTGAATAATTTGATGTGCTTGATGTATGTAGACATTTGTGAAATCATCCCATCCCATCCCATCACATCCCATCGCATCCCATTGCATCCCATCGCATCCCATCCCATCCCATCGCATTCCATCCCATCCCATCGCATCTCATCGCATCCCATCGCATCCCATCGCATCCCATCGCATCCCATCGCATCCCATCGCATCCCATCGCATCCCATCCCATCCCATCCCATCCCATCCCATCCCATCCCATCCCATCCCATCCCATCCCATCCCATCCCATCCAGTATGATCTCAGTTTTGCATACATGTGCAATGGTATCTTGGTTCACAAACACTTTTGTTTGCAAACAGTTTGGTTTGCAAACATAAGCACTTGGCAAAATTTTCTTTTGGTTTGTAAACTCTGTATTAGGTGACAAACACAACTGTAGCCCTATTTCCCCACAAAAACACAAATGTGGCCCTATTTCCCCACAAAAACACAAAAACACAATCTTTCCCAAAATTGTAGAACAAATTAAGTTCATGAACCAAGGTACTGCTTGCTGTATGAAGAAAATATAGAGGAAAGAGCTATACCAATTTCTAAGACAGTTTGTCTGGATTATGGTAAGTTTTAATTCATTTCTTTCTAGAGATTTTTAATTTCCTACAAGGAACATGTAATACTTTTCTGATCAGAATAACCAGTGTGACTTTTAAACATGAAACATGTTTAATTAAAAATAAATCCATAACTCCTTCCCAGTACTACTCTCCTGCAGGAGAGGAGCACGAGGTGAAGCTCTGCAGAGATGCGTAGCAGGGAGCTCAGCCAGCCCCTTAAGTCATGGCACTTACTGGATTTCAGTTCCCAAGTGCTTGAGGGAGATGTTCTGAAGGCTCAGAGGCATGGCAGGGA